CACTTTGTGAAGATGAAAAATACTGCAAGCCTACGGCATATGATCTACCCAAGACTGTACGTATGTATGTGATTTTAGAAAAATAATACCAGCTTTTGTGAAAATTCAATAAGTATGCGCATTGATTAAGTGCTGGCCAATTTAGTATTAATTTTAATTTGCACTTACCCGCATAATAGTAAATTCGCATTTCCATTAATTGCATGTGGATATGTTTGATGACCGCCACCGATGCCTCCACCACTACCAATGCCACCTGAATTGTGACCGATGAGGCCACTTAGGCCAAAACTCGCGCGTATTGTTTGCAATCCATTGCCGGGCGTATATGCATTAATTATATTCGTATATGTCTCATTGCTGTCATCTTCACTGTTGTCATTGCTGTCATCGGCGTAATTATCGTCGTCGATAATTCGATGACTCTTAGTTACAGTTGCTAATGTTGTTGTTGCTGTGGTTGCTATAGCTGTTGCTGGTTGTGTTTGCTTAATGTCAATATTTGTTGTTGTCGCTGTTGTTGTTTCTTGCGCACTTATTGGTGCTGCAATATTTGAAATATTTTGCTTGTTATGCTTCAGCGTTAACGGCGCAATTATTGCCAACCGTCTTAAGGACATCATTGCAGTTATTTGCTATTGCGCTTCGCTGATTTCTAGAAAAATGCTTATGCACCTAATGCACCTACATATGTAGCAATAAAACAAACAACAAGCCCAAAATATTGTAGAAATGTATAGATATTACTCATCCGGGCCTGTTGGTTTTCATTTATAATATAGCTTTGAGGAAAAGGTACTTTCGTCATTGTTCATGGTTTTCAATTTAAATTTTTTTATAGGAAATTCAAGTCATAGCGCATTGAAACCATTTCAAACCAGCTTTTTATCACAAAGAAGACTGCATAGACCGAAATAAGAAGAAGTGGTCGGACTGGTGAGGTTTCATGTCATAGAGTGGATGCATCAAAACTTCCTAGCCGAGGTCTCTAAACTTTTTCCGAGTGAATTAAATGGCATATTAATTCCGGCTTTTTTTTTAAATATGTTTGTGTTGTTTTTTTTTATAAAAATATTGTCCAAAATTTATCCAAACCACATAAATCACAGTTCAATCTTTATACAAAATTCAAACTTTTAAATCTGAATTTTTCGAACACCTTTGTGTATGCAGTTTTATAGAACATACAATTTTAGTCTGTTGAGTGCCATTTCAAATCGTCTAAAAAATCGCGTTCATTTTTAATATTTTTTTGCCGACGGATTTTTGCTCGTTTTTAATTGGTTTTGTTAAAGCTAGGACAGTATTTATACATATAGACTTTCTGAATATTTAATAAAAATCAACACGTGAACACTGATTTGAGTCACTGTACATGTAGGTGACTGAATCTGCGTTTGTTATTAAGACTGTTACCGGTTTGCCTTTTGCGCAGAAAGAAGCAGGCGGACAACGGGGCGTATGAGTAATATGCATCGGACACCTTGAATATTTTGATGAACTTGGACATTATCGCAACATGTCTTGCTTGAGGTGCTTTTCGAGAGTTGTAAATAAATGGCAAAAGGCCATTAAATACACACATATGTATGTATGTAGGCACATTAGGATGGTCCAAAAATGCATGTGTAAAAGTGTAGGCCAAATTTTAATGCTCTCACTCTTAGGATTGTTCTATATCGAGAAAAATATACCTCTGTTTTTTTTTTAGTTTGGAATTAAAATATATTTAGAGATCACTCAAATGGAGTTTGTATGGAAAAAAAACAAAAACAATTTTTCTTAGGAATGGTATAGAATTCTTAAAATTCAATCGCAAAACTCTGTTTCTCTTCAGGAGACTTCCAATAACAATATCCAATTGTTTACTTTTCCATTTTTTAATACTAAAATTTTTTTGTTAATTCTCCCATTGCATTTTTTGATGCTTTTGGGTTACCTATAAAAAATAGTTAATACTAACAAAATAGTTAAATAACAATTGGGTATTATTATTGGAAGTCTCCTGAGGAGAAATAGAGTTTTGCAAATTTTTAATTTTTAAGAATTCCATACCATTTCTACGAAAAATATTTTTTTTCCTATATAAAATACAAAAAAAAAAAACAATGTAAGATATATTTTTTTTTCACTACATAAAATTCCGACATTACTTTTTTTGAAAACCCTAATGTACATATGTATTTATGTTTTGATTTTCATGCCGAATGCAAGTTTACGTAGCACTGAAAATAAATGGTAAGAAATAAATTAGGTAGTTCGGTATTTTAGAAAGCGATGCATTTTGAACTGTTCTTGCTTTTGCATCCAAATCAAGTTTTTTTTTTAGATAAAGTGAACATTTAACATCAGCTTTGTTTTTGTCAGCGTTGCAAGCTACCAATTTTAATAAAAATTATGCAATTTTGGTTTTGCACTGAGTTCCAAGATATTTTTATTTAACACCTAAAACTTGTAAGTTAGTCATAAAGCCTGAAATCCCTAAAAACTTAAATAATTTTAAGTGCTTTTAACTTCGACTTAAATGCTTCTTACACAAATTCCCGAGCTGCAAAAATCCTATCATTAGTTCTTTAGCGATTATAAAACCCATTTAGGTTATT